CAAACCTACGGGAGTTCTTGACTTGTGACAGCAGTAAGAGGGAGAGAAGAGAGAGAGAGAGAGAGAGAGAGAGAGAGAGGTGGACTGCATTTTCTTGGAATGCAAGAAGGCGTCTGACACAGTTCCACACAAGAGATTAGTGCAAAAACTGGAGGACCAAGCAGGGATAACAGGGAAGGCACTACAATGGATCAGGGAATACTTGTCAGGAAGACAGCAGCGAGTCATGGTATGTGGCGAGGTGTCAGAGTGGGCGCCTGTGACCAGCGGGGTCCCACAGGGGTCAGTCCTAGAACCAGTGCTGTTTCTGGTAGTATTTGTGAACGACATGACGGAAGGAATAGACTCCAAAGTGTCCCTGTTTCCAGATGACGAAGTTGATGAGAAGAATTCATTCGATTGAAGACCAGGCAGAACTACAAAGGGATTTGGACAGGCTGCAGACCTGGTCCAGCAACTGGCTCCTGGAGTTCAACCCCACTAAGTGCAAAGTCATGAAGATTGGGGAAGGGCAAAGAAGACCGCAGACGGAGTACAGTCTAGGGGACCAGAGACTACAAACCTCACTCAAGGAAAAAGATCTTGGGATGAGTATAACACCAGGCACATCTCCTGAAGTGCACATCAACCAAATAACTGCTGCAGCATATGGGTGCCTAGCAAACCTCAGAACAGCATTCCGACATCTTAATAAGGAATCGTTCAGGACCCTGTACACCGTGTACGTTAGGCCCATATTGGAGTATGCGGCACCAGTTTGGAGCCTACACCTAGCCAAGCACGTAAAGAAACTAGAGAAAGTGCAAAGGTTTGCAACAAGACTAGTCCCAGAGCGAAGGGGCATCTTACGAGGAGAGGTTAAGGGAAATCGACCTGACGACACTGGAGGACAGGAGAGATAGGGAGGATATAATAACGACATACAAAATACCGAGAGGAATTGAACAAGGTGGACAAAGACAGGATGTTCCAGAGATGGGACACAGCAACAAGGGGATATAGTTGGAAGTTGAAGACAGATGAATCACAGGGATGTTAGGAAGTATTTCTTCAGCCACAGAGTAGTCAGGAAGTGGAATAGTTTGGGAAGCGATGTAGTGGAGGCAGGATCCATACATAGCTTTAAGCAGAGGTATGATAAAGCTCACGGTTCTGGGAGAGTGACCTAGTAGCGACCAGTGAAGAGACGGGGCCAGGAGCTTGGACTCGACCCCTGCAAACTCAACTAGGTGAGTGTAACTAGGCGAGTACGTACACGTACACGTACACGTACACGTACACACACACACACACACACACACACACACACACACACACACACACACACACACACAAGGGACCTTGTGAGCAGTCACTAGGATAATAAAGTCAGGACACCACAAGAAATTTGACTAGTTTGTCGCTCACACATGCAAATCTAATGACTTTCTTCCCGGTCCATAAAATCAATATTAAGAGATACAAACCATACCACGGGAGGGGTTTGAACCCGCAATCAGAGAGCCTCAAAACTCCAGACCGTCGCGTTAGCCACTGGGCCATCTAGCTTCAATAAGAGTTAAGAGATACAATTAGATGCAAGATGACATGGCAGAATATTGAGAAAATGGAAGAAAGTTGTAATATTTCTTGGAGATGGTTGAGCACTGCAGTCAATAAGCCTGGCCTCGGGCCGGGCTGCCAGGTAATAAGAAATCTGGAAACCAGTCACCGGTGTACCGTCAAATATCAATAAAAAAGGTATATACACTCATAGGTCAGAGTATCCTCAGCCTTGGAGTGATCAGAAAGTGAATGACCTCCGTGAAGACGTGCAGACACACTACCATAGACATTTTTAGGGATAGTTACGATACGACCCTCGAAGTTATACGAGTGAGCCCGTTTAAAGGGCGGGACCAGAGGCTGATACTCGACCCCCGCAACCACAACTAGGCGAGCGCTCTGCGGTCCAAGACAATGACAGTTCTTATAAAAGCACTGTCACCCAAGGTGAGTGTAGGTGTAGACACCTCCCTCCGTCCCCTCTCTCTCTCTCCCCCCTCTCTCACTTTCTCCCTCCCCTGTGCCTCTCTCCCCTCCTATATCCTTCTCCATCCCCTCTTTTAATCTCCCTCTATCCTCCCTCCCTAACACACACATACACACATTAAAATTGTATTCTTGTGTAAGCGCTGAACCTTTAAGGTTCATACAACGCCTGGAGATTGGGAGGTGAAGTGGTGGTGGGGTAGGGGTATGGTGTGGCTTGGTAGGAGGTGTGGTGTGGTAGGAGGTGTGGTGTGGTGGGAGGTGTGGTGTGGTGGGAGGTGTGGTGTGGTGGGAGGTGTGGTGTGGTGGGAGGTGTGGTGTGGTGGAGGTGTGTGTGGTGGGAGGTGTGGTGTGGTAGGTGTGTGGGTGGGAGGTGTGGTGTGGTAGGAGGTGTGGTGTGGTGGGATGTGTGGTGTGGTGTTTGTGGGGTGGGAGATGTGGTGTGGTGGGAGTGATGGTGTGTTGGGAGGTGTGGTGTTGTGGTGGGGGTGTGGATCAGCAGCAATTCACCCTCACAGAGCACAACTAATAAAGAGTGCTGCAAGCTTCACTGAGACTTAATACAATAAGAACATAAGAATGGAGGAACACTGCAGAAGGCCTACTGGCCCATACATGTAAAGAACACATGCACTGTCTCATACCAGCCACTCGCTGCTAGATATAAAAAATATTTGGAAAATGAGTTTATAAATTTGAAGGAGAGGTGTGTGACCCTAGCGGGGAAGAGCACCTTAGGTGAGACGGGTTTTCCCAAGCACACAAGGGCGCTCACATTTCGTGCGTGCGTGCATGCACGTACGTACGTATGCAATCGCCAAGCTGTGTTTTCTAGAGTTGATTCATAGCTCCTAGACCTGTTTTATTTATATCGACCGGTTTCACTGATACCTTACGTCCAGGGCCCGATCATACCTTCTCTACAAACTGTGTCCACCATCACGAGATCAAGCAAGTACTACCTACAGTCTACATAACTCACTTGCAGCTTTAGCGGCTGTTATGTCCTTGATTCCCTCTCTCATTTCAAACAGCCTATCCCTATGCACACTACACAGTCCCATTAGTATTTCGTATATCATAAACATATCTTCCCTGGTTCTTTTCATTCCACGATTTTTAGGTTAATTTACTTAAATATCTCCTCGTAGTTCATTCCACTCAGCTTCGGGACAAATCTTGTTGCGAACCTTTGTAATTTGTTCAGTTTCTGGACATCGTTCAATCGTGCTTCGCATGCAACTGCTGCATACTTTCCTTATATTTACAAGAAAGCGCCAAATCAGAATAGGTCAAAGTGGTAACTGGTATTGAAGATGTGTTGAGTGCAGGGATGTGGCACGCGTAAAAGGAGACGTCAAAGCTGGTGCAATAAGCAAGTTTTGTCTAATAAATCATAAGGAGAACCAGCATGAAGGGTAAATGTGTTTGAGAGAGGAGAGGAGAGTCACCACGCTAAATGAAAAGCCAAACATTGTTGTATATAGTGTCAAGACTGTGTACTGATATACACGGTGAGTTATTACATATTAAAGCTTGCAGGGTTCACCACTAGCTCTATAATACGAACATTTACAAATATTTTTACTTTTTCCTATGATATGTTTTCTTAGTTCACGATGGTTTAGAGATACAGTACTTTCCTAGCAGGGGCTGGTTCAGAGATACTTTCCTATCAGAAGGTGGTTAAGACAGTCGTTATAAATTTTACACAGCAAAGCTGTGTTATAACTTTTCCTGGTTCGTAACAGCTACAGATAACTGATCAGTGTCTTAGGGAGCATGTACACGCACGCATACACACAGCCAGCTGTGAATCGACCTCTGCAACCATAGATAAGTGCACACACACATACACGCGCGGTGGGTGGTTTGCGAGTGGAGGGAAACGGCCGGTCAAAATAATTTTCAAGGCAGAATCAGCTCGAACAAGGATCCTGCAGGAGAAAGCACGACTGAGGGACAATCCAGAGTACCAGAGAGTGTACTTCGATCGCGACAGAGCACAAGAAGAAAGGATGATACTGAGAGAGAGGGTGCAAAGACGAAAGGAGGAACGAGAGACACTGAAGATGAGCAAAACCCAGACTCAGGTGGAAGGGCAAACACACCTTACAGAAACACCCGCAGAAGGACTCCAACCACGACAAACCAAAAGCAACGGACCAATCTAAACCAAAACCCACACACTGTTCCTTCTGCCCCCACCCCTCACATCACAAACCCCACCCCTACAGCAGCCCCCTATGGGCACTCTGCCCCCAACCCCCATCACAAACCCCACCCACACTGCAAACCCCCCATAGGCCCCCTCCAGGGCTCCCGCTCCCCCAACCCCAATATTTTCCCAGGACCACCGTGATAGATAAGTTGAAGGTGTGGTACACGAACGCAGATGGATTAACAAATAAATACGAGTGGCATGAAAGAATCAATGAGAAGTCCCCAGACATCATAG